CTGTGGTTCCCTGGTCAGAAGAAGGAGCAGGAGGGGCCGGCCTTTGTCCGCTCATTAAACCTGACACTGATACATTTAGTTTTTAAACCAGCAGGAAGAACAATTACTGTCTCCACTGTGAAATCTCTGCAGTCTGTCCTGGTCTCAACCTGAAGTCATGCACAATGAGGAGAGACGATACAGCTCCTCACAGTGAGGCATGGCGTCACCCACTGATCTGCACTGGAGACACAGCGGTGTTACACCGACTTAATGCTAATGTTAGCTCATCTGCCAGGTATCATACTGAAGTAAAGTTAGACTAAAGGAAACTCTCTGACAGTTTCTCTGAGAGTCTTGTTAGTGTCGGTTCATACCCACGGTCATAGCAGAACTATCTGTCTGGAAAACTGAGGTTTATTTTAGAAACAGAAGCTGTGAAAGTCCAACTCGGTGTGAGTCCAGGAGGGAGGAGCAGGTAGCCGCCTCTCAATCATCAGAGAAGATACAACTCTGAGAATCTTATTAATGCAGCAATAACATCCAACGGTACCACCAGAACGTGCAAACTAAGAGACTGAGACCAGATTATCTCCTGGGAAGAAATACAGTCTGAGTTTCTAGTGTCTGTCAGTGGTGCTGACCTCTAAGACACTTTGGCCTCTAGCCGTGGTAGCTGCCGCCTGATGACAACATAGAAATCATTGCTGTTGCATCCATCTTTATTGGGAAAATGTACGGTGATGCAAACTGCCTTATACGGATGTTGACCTGGGGGGACATAGACACTTTGTGCAGCCACGTGGACAACGGACCCCCCCCCACACACACACACACACATATAATTCCCTAGGTCCAATTTCTTTCACCAATGACATGCTAATTTATTCATGACTCCTCTCAGTGATGGGAGGCCTGTGACATGGAAGTGGTTAATGGAGTTTCCCGTCTGTGCATGTATGCGTCTGAGGGTTCCAGGTTGGTGACGATGAAGGAAGACAAGGGGGTTTATTTGTCCTGGATAGTCTGCTTTTTGGTCTCTGGCTGAATCTTTAGAATTAAAAGAGCAACCCTTTGTAAGGCTGTGTGCGAGATGAAGCCAGCAGATGATCATCATTAGGCAAATAATCTGCAAATGAAGCAGCAATCACCATGAAGCCGGGCGACCTCGGCCGCCAGAGCCCTGGAGACGACGTGGGCAGCTCAGGCTGTGCTGAGGCGTTGTAGAAGCGCAGGCTGTGTCTGTGGTTTCTAAAGGAGCAGTGATGAGGAGATGCCTCCTGGACCTGCGCAGTGCTTATTTTGGCACCTGATGTAGTTTTAGCCTGTTGAAAATGTGGATTTGACTTCAGACCAAACACCAAAAATATATCTCTCATCGGATTTGCATATTTGTTCACTCTCTGTGCCCCTCTGTCCTCTGCTCCTCTTCAGCTGACGTTTTTCATCTTTCCTCTCATTATTCATTTCCCTTATTCCTTTGCATATTTGGCTCCTCTAATCCAATCGCCCACTGGCAGTTGTGAATAGAAGTGCACGTGGCCCAACAGCGCCTGGCACCTGTCACAGCAGGTTTATGTGATGAGCACAGGTCGAACTCACTGTCATCTAGACCTGACTGCTGACATGTTTGTTTTATGCTGTTATGGTGCCCAGGTGGGCGGAGTTTAATATGTCATTACATTTTCTTAAACGTGACAGGGAGCTTGGCGGTTGTTGAAAGGTCCAGTGACTTTACAGATCTTGTCTTCTCCTAACATTGTCACAGCGCTGTCGTATGCAGCGAAGGCCTCACACCTGGCACCAACACCCTGGTTCAGGCTGCCGTGACTGAAACCGGCCTGACTGAAGTGTCTTTAAGTAACAGCTGAAACTCCAGAAACACCCGGGTTCTCAGCCCTTTCAAGCTCTGTTGGTAGGAGGGAAGACAAGAAGAAGACAAGCGACAGATGTCTGCAGAAGAAGGAGGGCATCTGTGTGTTTTAATGATCTGAAAACCACGCGGACTGTTTCTACATCAGGCCTGCTGATAAAACAGCACCACAGATTTTATACCTACAGTTTGAGTCTGAGTCAGATTAACTGTCCACTAACATGACTACGTCTGTTGGATGCTGACAGAACAGCCTGGTGTAGCTGGTGTCCTGCTGCTGGTCCGTTTGGATTCTTGAGTAGATGCACTCAACACTTAATCAAGTCGTCCCCCCCCCTCCCCGGCATTTGGAATCACACTGATATCATTAGTAGTTTGAAAGTTATTGAAGAAAACCAATATTTGACTAATGGCGGTTTCCTTCAGGGTCTAGCTCAGCAACTGTTGAAGATATGGATTGTTCTGTGGACCATACTCTACCTCTCCAAATAAAATTAATCACAATCCATTCATAACTTTTTGAGTTTTGCTGTGAACATCACCTCTGCTTTGGTGTTGATCAGAAACAGGCCACAAGCAGTTTGAACCTGGAAATCACACAGCAGACGTGTGCAGGTCTCCCTCTCAGCACAATCTCTCCCGTGCTACCCAGACGATCAGTCATGGTGATTAGTGTGGTGTAAATGTTAACGCAGCCACATGTTCCTTCTCTGCAGCTCATTAGTGCAGTGACCTATTAGTGGAGTTTCTTAGGAGCACATTACTTCCTCTGTGTTTGCACCACAAGGCTGAATATAATTTATTTGTTGGATTACTAATGTAAAATGAGTGAATTATGACCAGACCACAACACAGAGCTGAAAATAACACTGTATGTGTGAACTGCACCACTGTTCCTGTGAAACAAGGTTTATGAACTGTTACACAGTTCAGCCTGGTGTAATGTGCCAGACGGTTCGACCCTGATGGTTCAACCCTGGCGGCTCGACCCGGACAACGGCTCTGACACTGTTTTACCAAGGCCACAAACATAACAAGGGCTTTCACATGCAGTTATACAAGGATCACAAGGTCAAATTGTTAAAAAATGACTATAGCTGCATTATTTTTTCTATTTCACTGGAGCTACATGCACTAAGCTGGAAACCTGCGGCTGTACTTTATTAAGGACACATTACAATATGCATCACATTGTCTGCATGTCACAGCATCGAAAACACAAAGAATACAGTTAAACATCAAGAAGAAAACAAGTGATTAAGACAAAATTATTAAACCAAAACCCACATATAATAAGAACTTTACCCACAATTCCCCTTTCATTCATCCTTTTCTTACTTTTTTGTTATGTGTAAAGACGTCATTTTGTTTTGTCAGTGCCCTGTTCTTGTCCTGAACTTTTTAAATTTGGAGCTTTTACTTTGCAAATAAACTTCACACCAGCAGCATCAGAACATTTTCCATGTGTTTTCTCCTCACTCGTCAGCGTTTACTCAGAGAACTTCCCCCATATTTGCAAAAATGCAGTTTGACTCCAGGACCTCATGAGTATAAAAGTCAAACATTACACAGAACAGATTATCTCGTCACCATAGGTGTCTTTTTGGAGTTAGATTTGTTCTTTTGTTTAGTCCTGGGAGGAGAACAGAGCTGCTGATTCTTTTGATTCCTGCAAATGAAAGTCTTTAATGTGTAAATTGCATGTTGGTCCCCCTGGCCCCCGGACCCCACTCTGTGCTGCGTGTCCCTGCAGTAATGGGCCAGAATTAGTGAACTAAACTAAGGTTTACCTCCATGCTGAATAGTTAACATGGCTGACGCTCCTAGAGAATATTGGCTCCTGTTTCCCTCCACTAGGAGCTTCTCATGCATTAGACTGCGCAGCCTCTGGACGTGTGACAGGCCTAATTAAACCAACAGGTGATGAGGCCATTTTCAAAATACAAAACTGTCCTGGAGCTGCGCTAAAGTGTGGCCTATAATTTAATAGCTCTCTCAGTGTGTAATGGTTTATCCTGATTACTGTAATTATCTTTACTGGTCCTTTAATTAATGTAATTTCTCCAGTCTGCAGTTGGAAACTAGCGCCATCAGGCTGAGCTGCCATCCCATGTCACTTCACATTACTCAGCTAGATATGCTGACGCTCCAACACCCACCTACTTGCTGTAAATTTATCTCCACTTGCATCTCATTGCCAGTTTAAAGAGCTAAGACCTCGAGGTGGCAACCAGTCATTGCTGTGAGACTGTGCATGTGTGTGTGTGTGTGTGTGTGTGTGTGTGCACGCTTCTAACATTTATTATGCACGTTTAAATACAAAAAGGTGCAGCATGCCTGGTACTGAAAGCACATCAAACAACAGAGGAAAAATACATTAAAATGTGATCAAATGTACATCACAGCATCATCTTTCTGTCAGTGGCTGTTTGAATATGTGGCACGTCAATCTGTGCACGTCATCTGCCAGGCCCTGTCACGACAGCAACACAATGCTGATAATAACCATGTGCGAAGCACTGTTGGTCTGTGCATCCGCTGGGTACCTGTCGTTACTTCTGAAGGGAAGGGGTGCCTGCATGTTGACCGAGCATGGGGGATTCTAGGGGACTCTGAATAAATGCATGACTGTAGATAAGGGTCAGAACAGTGACCACCACATAAATCAGGAGCTTCACCTTCAGGTTCAGCTCCATTTTCAGCTGCAGCTGGCGTGCCAAGCTGCCTGTCAAACACCCATCTACCTTCACTTGAGAGTAAGACCACAAGATACTTAAACATCTTCACTTGGGGCTGCAGTCCACCAGAGTACCACGAACTCATGCTGCTGCAGCTTCACGCTCGGCTGGTTCTCCTCCATCTGATATTGACGAAGCCAGCAGATCAACGTCTGCAAATGTGCTGGAGCCCAGTGCTCACTGAGAACATGCTTGACTTTAAAAAACAGCAGGACCAGAAGGCTAACAGAAATAGGCCCAGCACCCCTTCTTCCTATCATGGGACATAAGCCTTCCACTAAAGTCCACTAAACACAAGACAGCTGCATTGACATCCAGTCTAGGTTCCAGTCAAATCAACAATCAATGTGGCACATTATGTGTTTAGTGCTGTCAGCTGCCAATCGGAACAGCACCCAGTGGACACAGAGAGCAACAGAGACAAAAACCAAACACTTACCAAAGAGGGTTTCCTGAGAAGCACTCCTCATAGTGGATCAATACACTGAGACCAAGCAGATGAAAATGGCTTTTTAGATCAATTGCATTCCAGCAAAGCAGCACAGAGAAACAAACTTCCACAGCAGGCTAATCTGGTAACATGATACAGGACCGTCTCAGTCTGAGGCATGTGGTTTGTGCAGGGATCTGGTTTTACCAAACATAGTTCAGTAAACCTGGAGAGTTGTGGATGTAGAGGAGTTAAGCAGTTTCCGTTTTTAAGGGTTTTGCTTCACTTGGACCTTTGACCTTGTATTTCCAAGAGACTTTATGTTTGGTTGCCAGGTTGAGAACTGTTGTGACAGGAGCAGCTGGTACAATCATTCACCTGGTGCAAGGCCTGCAGAGTTTCCTCTACCCAACAATACAGGTGACTTTGCACCAAAATCCCTCCCCAGGACCTGGGGCTGTAGGAGTCCTGGGGCGAGGTGAAGCCGGGACTCTCCGACTCCCAGCCTCTTGCCTCACAGAGCCACTTCTTCTCTGGAACTGCCGTTGGCTGCTGGAAGGTTGACAGCGGCAATGGGCATGGTCTTCTTGATGGAGGTGAGCCGGATGTGGGAGGTGCTGTGAAAGTAGCTGGCCTGGCGCTCGGGGCGGGGTCCTCGACCACACCGCAGCTGACTGAGGAAGAAGAAGAATGTAAACAGAGTGTGCAAGGCTCTCTGCTTCAGACATCTTCATTACAGGTGTTAAAGGTTTGATTTGACTCACCAGCTCATAAGAGAATCACTAATGTTCTTCATTAAGTGACTAATCGTTTCACTAAAACACAATGTGTAGTATTAATACTACACATTGTGTGGAGGTGCGATCAGCTGTCAGCTGCGTCTCCATAGTCAGAAACAGTAAGCAAGAAGAAGAAATTGCAGAGCTCTTCGTGTTGTGCAGCGCAGACTTCATGTGCTTGGCAGCCATGTGCCTCCTCTGAGCTTGGAGCAGTCTGCGCTGCAGGCCGGTCAGCGTGCGCCATGCATGTGGAAGTATACGGTGAGCCGCATGACAAGTTCAAACCTAACAATGTGGTCTGTTTCTCTTCCCTGTTTGATTTATCTTTTTGTTTTCTGTTGGTAAACTGTTTTCATTTCTCTGTCAGTCATAAGGAGTCTTTTTATTCTTTGTCATTCATTAGCTTGTCTCTGCAAACAGAAACTAACAACTCAGAAATAAAATATGGCTTTCAGAAATAGTACCTAAAGTACACTGAAATAACCAGAGCAAGTTACTCTCTGTGTGGCTGCATACGAATTCTCTGGTAGCTAGTTTCCTGGGTACAAAGAGTGAAGGCTTAACATTCCTCTGGTTTATGAACAAGATCACACTAACAATGTTTGTTGAATATCTATATATCTAGGGAATCATTCTGGAGATTGGTGTGTGCTGCATGCTACAGCCTCATTAGAAGGCCTTTCCCTATGTATCGTCTGTTACTTGTGAGGTGTCTGAGCCAGTTGAAGGCATGAAGCTGGTCTGCAGGCTGCTGTTTCTCTCTGCGACAGGCACAGTGTTTGGGAGGATTCTGCCAGAGTCGACATGAAGAGCACTTCCATCCCGCTGAGGCAGAATAATGAGAAGTCGCAGGATGTTTAGTGACAGTGGGAGTGCTCAAACAGAGGTCTGGAAAAATGATGAGGTTGTGATTATTGGCACAGTACACTTTTTGGCAAACTGATGGAGTCCATGCACAGTGAAACATGACGTGCACTCCTTCAGGTCGTTTGTTTCCGAATGCTTGCCGTTTCACAAATGTTCAGCTTTCTGCCAAGTTTTGATTAGTCTTACAATCGCAATTTACCATGGTCTGTCCAGGCAGACAGCGAAACATCAGCAGCACCGAGGGCATTAACAGGTGCATTCAATATGTAATCTGTATGTAAACGTGCACTGACATTATGGGCCCCTGAGCACTGACCTACGAGTGAATGCTAGTCTTTTTAAAGATGCAGTCTGTCTCTTTGTGCTCTTTCTGCTTCTCTTTCTAATGGTTTTACATCTAGTGGTTGTCTAGCATCTCTTTGCATTTCTGTCTGGGATATTTTGCAGGTGAGCTCCAGGGGCCCCTGATCCCTCAGGCCCAGCAGGCCCATTCAGTAATCCCCCCATGTATGTAAAAACAGCACTGATCTGATGTTGTCCTTTGGATGGGACACAGTGAGATGTGGGAGCACAGTGTTATGCTGCTCAGGGGCAAACACATATGACAGTGAAACCCACTGTTACTGGTGAAAAGCTGCGCGGTAGAGCCGACCTGTTGAAGTGCCTGCGGAAGCTCTCGCTGAGCAGGTACAGGGCGAAGGGGTTGACGCAGGAGGAGGAGAAGCTGAGAACTCTGGCCAGTAGCGTGATGACCAGGTGGGCCAGTGACACATCCACCCGGTGGTAGTGGAAGGAGCGGTACATGTAGAGCACGTGGTTGGGGAACCAGCACAGGGCGAACAGGCCCACAAACACCAGCACAATCTTGGCCAGACGCTTCCTCGTCTCCATCTGGAGGGGTGGAGATAAAACCAGACTGTGAGGGATCAGCAGCTGCGTGGTGTGAAGATGACGGAGGCATGAACAAGAAAGAAACATTCTGCAGTCATTTTTCTGTGGTACTAGGTGGCGTTTATTTATTATGGCAGTTGTTGAATTAATGGAGGTAGAAAGTCCATAAAAACCCTTCAGTGCTAAACTAGAGTTTCTATAATAGTTACACGCTGTAAATGTAAAAAGGTTAAAAGTGTTTTTTTTTTACACCCACAGTCACTTATTTTGGTGGGAAAATGTAATCGTGCCTAGCAGGACAAAGTTTGACTCCCACTGGGACTTACATGATAAAATCTTCGTCCAAATGTCCAGCGGTCTGATGAAAGAGATGGAAACAGATGAGGTGGATGGAGGAAGAGATGAAACCAAGTGCAAACTCAACCAGTGGAGGACTGGAGATGACCAGAGCCATAAAAAAGGTCAGGTGTGTCAGTCATATGTATTTACACATCCCTGCACATCAGGATTCAACAACAAACACACACAAAAATGTCAGCGATGTTCCTCTGAGTGCTTCTCCTGGTAGTGCAGGCGTCAGACCTGCTAATGCACACGCTCCTGATGTTTTCAGAGGCGCAGGTGAAGAACAGCAGACGTACAGCCCCAAATCAGAAACGACACACTTTTGTGATGGCTCCATTAAAGCTGAACAACACAGAGAGATGTTGGAACAATATATGCTGCCTTCAAGATGGCTTCTTTTCCAGGGACGCCCATACATATCTCAACAAGACAGTGATAACCCTCATACTGGACATTACCAAGGCCTGGCTGTGGAGGAAAAGAGGGCGAGTGCTGGACCGGCCTGCCTGCAGTCCTGACCCGTCCCCAGTAGAGAGTGTGCGGTACAATATGAGATGCAAATTGCTTCAATGAAGACCCAGGACTGTTGTGCTCTTTAAGACTTGTTTGCTGGAAGAATGGGACAAAATGACACCTAACACATTGAATCACCTGGTGTCCTCAGTCCCTAAATGTCTCTTAAGTGTTGTGAAAAGGAATGGCAGCGTCACACCGTGGTAAACGCTTTACTGTCCTGACTTGTTTTGGAATGTGTTGCAGGCATCAGGGTTGAAGTGAGTGTATTTTTAACTAATAATGAAATTGATGAGGTGTCACATCAGAGAATGTGCTGCTGTATTGTTTTCAATGTAACACAGGACACAGATGGTTTACAAATCACTGTTTTCAGTTTTTACTTAGAGTTTATGGACCGTCCCGACTTTTCCTGATTTGCAGTTTTAAATCCTACACAGTTCATTAGACCTTCTCGCCACAGAAATCAGCTCCACTGCACACATGTTGTTGATGTAAGGCCACATGGAGCACTCACTGAAGTGATGTTTATGTTTTCCTCAGGTGCAGAGGTTTTTTCCTCTCCACCCACCTGCCTGCTTTTGGCTGTGACTCCACTCCAATGAACTGGAAGGAGAGACCGTTTGTCAGTAGCAGTCAACCGGTGCAGTGTGATGTTAGTGTTGAGGACTGGAGGGATTTGTGTTTGTGCTGCCTGGTTGTTCGGCCTGGGTCGACTCTGCAGGCTGAGAGTCATGTAAACTACTTTTAAATGTCAGACTTCTGTGTTTCTCTGGTAAATAAAACTTTAGCCATGAAGCAGAGCCACATCAGAAAATATAGGAGGCTGAAATCTGAACTGAGATGGATCAAATGGAGCCAGGAGGGTTCATTCACACTGCAGGTAGGAAGCACCAGCTGCTGGAATCCCTAAAGCCAAATGAAGAGTGCACAATCAAAATTCAAATGCTCATAATTTTTAATAATTAATTTGCAGATTCATCCCAGTGTTCTCAGGCTGATGTACACAACCCCCACTGTTCACGGAGTCAGCAGACAGTTAGCTTAGCTTAGCATGAAGACTGGAAACAGGGAAACCAATTCTTTATACAAACCGTGTCTCTTTCCTATTTTCTTTCTACCTGAATGCTCACACTGTCTATTCTCATTTTATTGCTGTATTTGTATTTTTATTCTCATTGCTACTTTCTGTTCTCGTTGCCTTAGAGCACACTGAGAGCCTCTGATTCCTGTATGTTCAAACATCCTGGGCCATTAAGACGATTCTGGTTCTGATTCAGAAAACACCCAATGTGACAAGACCTTGGTCAGCGCCGAGATGTTAGTTGATAAATGCTCTGTAACATTTCCAGCGTCTGTGGTGACGTGACATCCGACCTGTGGCCAGGTTTGCTGAGTTTCTGGAGTTTGACCCTCGGGCACCTCTGGAACGCTGAGCACCATCCACCAGTCATTCGCACCCAATAAGAGGATTGTGGCCGTTTGTTGAAAACAGCGGATTACATTTATAGAAGTTATGGTTCCATAATGAACATTTCTTTAAGGATTAAAACTCAACAAGAGAAGAATGGATGTCGGTTTATCAGTGCCCTGCAGCGTCTCACCTGGACTGAGCCGCCTTTTACAGACCAGAAACTAAAGTATATTTTAAGAAAGTTAGCTCTGAGCTCCAGGCTGATTTGTGTTTGGGCTCATTTGTTGCCAGTGATCGGCAGAGTTTGGCATTTTCCCCAGGATTCTCTTAGGCTTCTGCAGCTCCAGGCACAACTCATCTGGAAGGCTGGATTATGTGACTCTGTGTGCATGAGTGTGTGTGTGTGTGTACTTTCAAAGGCATGAATGCAGATTTTTCTCTTGCATGCATCTTCATGTGTGTATTCAGTACACACACACACACACACACACACACCTGCAGCTGCTTTGTTTACTGTGATCAGCTTGATCATCAGTTCATTGATCAGAAATCTTCAGTTCCCCAGCAGAGCAGCGAAATGCCGCCTCTGTTGCTGAGGGGGAAGCCTGCAGAGCCACCTGGGACGGCTGCCAGCTCCCATTAGAGGCATGTGCCAGACCGACTGCAGCACAGTGAGCTGTCAAGTTGTTTGATTTCTCTTGTGCTCCAGATGCTGAAACCAGAGCCAACATTGTGCTTTTGTCACACTGAGGGGTTTGCAGATGAAATACAGATGCTGTGAGGCAGGTGATCGCCTCCCATCGTGCACTATTAATCTGCATCCACCATGAGGTTTAACTTCTATTAGTTGAAAAGGTAACAAACA